TGGAGAAGAGGAGGCTGACGGGAGACCTTATTGCTCTCTACAACACCACGAAAGGAGGTTGTAGTGATGTGGATTGAGCTCTTCTCCCAAGTAACAAGTGGTAGGATGAGAGGAAATGGGCTCGTGTTGCCCCAGAGGACATAGAGATTGGCTGGGGGGAAAAATTTCTTTGCTGAAAGAGTGGTGAAGCATTGGCACAGGCTGCCCCCGGCGGGGGGGGGGGGATGGGCACAGGCTGCCCAGGGCGGTGGTGGAGTCCCCATCCCTGGAGGTGTTCTAACAATGCGTGGACGTGGCACTTGGGGACGTGGTTTAGTGGTCACGGTAGTGTTGGAGCTTGATGATCTTGGAGGTCTTTTCTTACCTTAATGATTCTAAGGCAGATCCTAAACATCCTCTAGGACTTATGGGGTAAGATTGAAGGGTGACAGGCGAGTGCTGGCCCCTGAAGCCCTTTCATGCTCTTTTACTGGTGTCGTGCTCTTCAAGGCAAGGCTGGTCTGGATTTACCCCTGATTACCCCAATCATGTGGTGTTAATATACTTATATTTCAACAAAAAACACAGAATAACTTTGTATTTTTCACCATTGCCATATGCTTTGTCTTACAGAGAGCCAGGCCTCCTAAAGGACAAACAAGTGAAAATCTTGCCTTCGCCCACAGACAGAAGGAAAAGCACCTCCTGGAATACGCTGATCTTTTAAAGCTGTACAACCAGTACCGCAGAGCCTCGGAGTGGCAGCGACGCGCCGAACAGAAATGGCTGCACGGCGTCGTGCGGGGAAAGGTGGACGCCACAATGCGGGAGTACCTAGCAGGGACGGATGAGCGACGCGAGAGGTAGCAAACTGTCTGCCCTGCTGTTTTCAGCTTGACTGCACGCTTAGAGGGGTGATTATGGGAGAAGCACTGAGCTCTTTGGGGTTTTTTTTTTTAAAGGGGATGAAGAGTACTTTGATAAAAATGTCAGAAGCTCTAATTGTTGGGTGTAACAGAGTTTTGTTGCAACCTCGTCAAATGAATGTTTAGGTCCTACAGGTAATACTTTGCAGTACAGGCAGCTGAAAAAAGAAAAAATTTCCAGAAGTCTCTCAAAAATAATAGAGAAGCAGATTCCTGTCTTCCAAAGAACTGTCTTTGTAGGAATTTTACACCAATTATACAGAATCACTGAGGTGGAAGGAACTGCCTGAGATTGTCTAGTCCTCAAACAGTCACCTAGAACAGGTTGCCCAAGCCTGTGTCTATTGGATTTTCCTTATCTCCACACACAGACTCCACCTCCTCTGTGGGCAACCTGGTCCAATACTTGAACAGCCTCTCAATTTAGAAAAAAAAAAGAAAAAGAAAAAGGCAAAAAAGTGTGTTCTTACATTGAGGTGGAATTTCCCACGTTTTAATTTGTCGCTTGTCCTGTCTCTGGGGACCTCTGAGAAGAAGCCGCCTCTCTTTTCTGCATTCCCTCCCTTTAGGTATTTATGTGTGTTGATAAGATCTCCCTTAACCTTCTCCAGACTGAACAGTTGAGCTCTCTCGGGAGAGAGAAATCTTTTCCAGTCCCTTCCTCATCTTGGTGGCCCTTCACTGGGCTTGCTCGGCTGGATCCGTGTCTTCCTTGTGTGGGGAAGCCCAGAACTTCGCCCCACACTGCAGATCAGATCTCTCAGTGATGAGAGGTCCCTGAATCTCCTGGCAGTGCTCTTCCTCATGCTGCCCAAGGTGCTGTTGGCCTTCTTTGCCACAAGGGTGCATTGCTGCTTTATCTTCGGCTTCTTGTCTGCCAGGAGCCCCAAGTCCCTTTCTGCAGAGCCGCTTTCCAGCCAGTCAGTCCCCGGTGTACCGGTGTGTGAGGTTATTCCGCCCCCGGTGCAGGATTTTTGTTGAACCTCGTGAGTTTGTTCTTACTTAGCTGCTTAAGATCCCTGTGCTGCCTTTGCAGGGAGACTCGGCTCAGTATGTGGAACAATTCGACTTCCAGAATTGATCAGGTAGTTTAAAAGAAGTTACAATTATAGATCTATAGAGAAGCACAGTAAATTCCATGGAGGGGTTATTCTGAAGTCTAGTAATAGTACAAGATCAAATTGGCATCAGCTGCTGACGAATGCAGCCTAGAAATGATAAAAATTTCTTTAATGGGGTCTGAAGTTGTAAAATTGGAAATGGGTTTATAAGATAAGGAACTTAAATTATGCCAGGACAGAGAATCACTCATTCTGCTGCAAGTTTCCCTTTGTGAGCACAACGGGAACGATCCCTGAGTCAAAACGCGTTGTTCCCTTGGATGTTCCCTTCTACGGCGTTTGCGTGAAGGGTTGAAAGGAGCCCAACAAATTTACTTTTCAACAGAAGGATTGATTTCGCTTTTATTTAAATGTTCTCATTACAGGCTTCGTGAACTTCTGGAGGCAGAGGAAAGTAGATACTTTGCTGAGATGGAGGCACTTGAAGAAACAGCCCAGGAGAAACAAGCAAAGATGAAGGAGCGAGCAAAATTACTGAGGGAAAAGAGAGAAAAAGAAAGACAACAGCTGGTGGCTGAAAAACGAGAGCAGCAATTCAGGTATCACCATAGAAATATAAAAAATAATTTGCCTGAAGTGTGTATAAAGGGGTAATTTAACAAGAAGGTGACGATAATAAACTGAGGGGGGAAAGATAGATGTGACTAAAATGATAAAAAAAAATTAAGGTGGTTTGGATAGAGGCCTATGAGCTTTGCCAGAAGTTGAAAGGCCTCAGTTATCTTGCATGGGATAGGGCAGAGCATAGACTTTATCTCTTCGTGGCTGAAGGGCTGCAGCCTCTAAAGCCCAGCGATCCAAATTTGCACCGCTCTAATTAATGCTCAGTAAATTGGGTGAGATAATAGAGGTGAAGGCAGCAGGTACAGAGAACTGCTTTGTCTCCATTAATTCTTAAGAAACCGTGAAAACGTTTTTCCAAGTGAAAAAACCCCATTTTTTCTCTTTGTCCTGTGTGAGCATCCCTGTGCTTTTGCCCGCTGAGTCCGCTCCTTTTGTAATTCTTAGTTCCGGCACGTAGTTCTATTTTTGCTGTATGCTATGGGAGTGAAAAGGGTTCACAGGAGGTTAATTTGACCTCAGTAATGCTTCTTAAGTTAAAATTGCCCAAAAGGACAGCGTGTTTATTTACTGCATACTTCTCAGGAGTACCAGGAAAGGTAAGTTTTTAATACAACATCAAATTCTGTGCCAAATCTTCCTGGATGTTGAGTTCGGCAGCACCTTTTAAAGTCATTAAGATCTGCAGGTGCTTATCAGGCCCTGAGGCCTTGACATGAAATCTGACTTGTTCAATTCTTGGAAATCTGGTTTCCTGAGGAAGGGATGAAAATAATATTAATTTAATTGTCATCATTGAAAGTGTCTCTTCTCAAGCCTCCCACTGTGCGAGGAAAATCCACAACACCTGCTTCTCAGCGTGCAGAAGCTGAGGATGAAAATCAAACTTGCTTTCACGTGTGCATAAACTCAGACGACTGTTGGTTTCTTAAACGTGGGTTTTATTGACTGAGATGGGTGTTAAGGCAGTATATGCACTTCTAAGTTCACAGTTCCTAGTTTGTTCTCTACCCATCACAAAAAGTGGTTGAAATTCACTTTTAAAATAGTTCAGAGGAGACACTGCTGGAGTCCCACTTGTTTTGTACTTGTAGCTTGTCTTACACGCCAAGGAGAAGGGATCCAGCTTCCGATTTGAGACCTAAAGGTAAGTGTCTGGGTGTCGGCGTCTTTATATTCACTGAGAGTTTGAAATCTTGTTCTAGTCAGAAGATCTTCATTGAGATCAGGACAGTTAGAGGAACCTCAAGCAGGCATTTAAGGTCTGCCAGCTGACCTACACCCTAGGCTCCACTGACTGCATTCGTTAGGTTCCCGTTGATTAGAATGTAGATGGTTAATTTTGGATATTTTAATTGCAAAACTGAATCCCGCTTGTGAATCTCATCATCGGGAGATGAGTGTTTGGGCTTTCATGCTGCCGGTGCCTGTCTTAATATCTCACATCCTTTTTCTT